CTGCTGATGATGATGCTGCTGCTGATGATGATGATGATGATGCTGATACTGATGATGATGGTGATGATGATGATGTTGGCTGAGGAAGGAGGGGAGATATGGATGAGGCAGGATACAGGAAGGAGGGAGGATGGTCACGAGCATGTGTATGACGATGGGGAGGGGCATGAGGACGCCGACGATGATGATGAGGAGGAGGATGGGGCGATCATGACAATGCTGGTGATCAAGCTGATGATGCCGATGCTGCTGATGATGCTGATGATGATGATGATGATGATGATGGTGAAAATGATGAGGATGAGATGATGATGCTGCTGATGATGATAAGGGTGATGCTGCTGATGATGTTGATGATGGTGATGCTGATGATGCTGCTGCTGCTGATGATGATGATGGTGATGACGATGCCGATGATGCTGCTGCTGAGGATGATGCTTATGATGATGATGATGATGATGATGATGACGACGATGCGGGCGACAGTCACGAGGATGATGACATGGCTTTTCGGACTGTGGGTGAAGATGGTGGTGACGATGGCAACACCGGCGATTACGTCCTATGTCGTAATTGCAATAACGGCGGTGACGATGATAGCCTTGCTGGTTGTGATTTCGTTGGCAGTGATGGTGACGTGTGAAGAGGATGAGGAGGAGGAGGGGCAGCAGAACGAGCAGGAGGAGGGGAAGGGATGCGCGATGGGGTAAAGGGGGATACGAACGGCATGTGGCAGGGAGGAGGGAAACGCGATGAGGAGGAGGATGAGGAGGATGAGGAGGAGGAAGCGGAGAAGGATGATGGGGACGGAAAGCCCCTGGCCGTTCGACGTTGGGAAAGGTGGGGATGAGGAAGAAGGGCACAGGAGTGGGGGTAGGAGGAGGAAGGATCAGGAGGGATGGCCGATGAGAGGGACGATGTTGGCTGAGGAAGGAGGGGCGATATGGATGAGGTAGGAGACAGGGAGGAGGGAGGATGGTCACGATGGCGAATGTGTATGACGATGGGGAGGGACATGAGGACGCCGACGACGATGATGAGGAGGAGGATGGGGACGATCATGACAATGCTGGTGATCAAGCTGATGATGCCGATGCTGCTGATTCTGATGATGAGGGTGATGCTGACGATGATGCTGCGGATGGTGATGCTGACGATGCCGATGATGATGTTGCTGCTGATGGTGACGCTGTTGGTGATGATGACGATGATGATACTGAAGCCGGAGAAGACTACGATGATGCTGCTGATGATGATGCTGCTGCTGATGATGATGGTGATGCTGATGATGATTACTATCATGCTGACGAGTTCGTTAATGAAGGTGCAGATGCGGATGATGAGGCTGTTGCTGCTGCTGCTGCTGCTCCTGCTGCTGATGATGATACGGCTGACGATGCGGCTGATGATGATGTTGCTGTCAATGATGATCCTGCTGCTGCTGCTGATGACGATGATGCTGATGCTGATGCTGCTGCTGGTGATGCTATTGACGGCGGTGGTGGTGGTGACGATGCTGCTGCTGATGAAGCTGGTGCTGATAAGGATGCTGATGCTGATGACGATGGCAATGATGATGATGCTGCTGCTGATGATGATGAGGGTGACAATGACGATGACGATGACGATGATGATGGTGATGATGATGATGATGATGATGATGATGATGATGCTGATGATGGTGATGATGATGGTGACGAGGATGATGATGAGGAGGAGGAGGAGCATGGTGACGAGAATGATTATGCTGATGAGGATGATGATGAGCATGAGGACGAGGATGAGGACGAGGGTGAGGATGATGATACTGGTGATGATGATAAGGAGGAGGAGGTGGAGAAGGAGGAGGAGGAGGAGGAGGAGGAGGTGGAGAAGGAGGTGAGATGAGAAGGGATGCATGAAGGAATTAGGGAGGGAGTGAGGGAGAAGAACGGAAGGGGAGGGAGAGACGAGTTTGGAACACGATGTATCGAAAACGCCTACGGGGAATCAGCGCCACCCCCTGCCTTTCAGAAGCGCCACTGTGGCCGAACGTTGCGGCCAGAGCTCGGCCAAATTATCGGACTATGTGCTACCCCAGCTGTTGTTGAAACCCTTCGGGGAACACGTGGGGGAGAAAGAAGAGGAGGAAGAGGAGGAAGAGGAGAGGGAGTAAAAAGGAGGAAAAAGAGGATGACGAGGAAGAGGAGGCCTCTTGGCAGCCTCTTGGGACACTCTTGGGGCCTCCTGGGAACTTCCTGGGGATCCTTTGGGCCTCTTGAGGGCCTCCTTGGGCCTCTAGGGGGCCTTTGGCTGCTTCTTGGGGGCCTCTTTACCCGTCGTAGAGCGTTCCTGGCCCGCCTGACGCCGTCAGAAGCCGTCTTGGGGGCCTCTCTGAACCGATTTGGGGCCCTCTTGAGGTGCTTCAGGGCCGTTTTGGAGGCCCCTTGGGCGGCAGTCTTGGAGCCTTCTAGTGCCGTCTTGGGGCCCTCTTGGGGCCGTCATGGGGGCCTTTTGGCTGTCATGGGGCCATCTTGGATGCCTCTGCGGCGCTCTGGAGGCGATATTGAGGGCCTCCTGGGCTGTCTTGGGTCATCTGGGAGCCATCTTGGACTGTCTTGGTGGTTTCTTGGGCGACCTTAGAGGCATCTTGGACCCTCTTGGGCCGTCTTGGAGGCCATCTTGGATTATCCTGGGCGAACTCGGAGGCCATCTTGGGCCATCTTGGCCGTCCCTTGGCCGTCTTGGACGCCATCTAGGGTCTGAAAACCGACAACTCGGGCTTTTTTTGGGTGCCTGGCGGGCTGGGCCGAAACCCCGGGGGGGAGTTCAAAAAGGACCAGCAACCTCTTGAAGCTTAGCATGCCAGGTACCCTTGCGGCAAGACTGCAGGGTGCAGCGGATCTAGTGGCCTTCAGCCCATCCCGTCACCATGCCTGGGTCGTGCACAAGAGGCCTCTTGGGTGCCTCTGGAGGCCTCTTCTGAGCCTGTGTGGGGTGAACCTGTGTGGGGGCCTCCTGGGGGCTTCTGGCGGCCTCTCGGGGGCCCTCTTGGGGTGGGAGGCTCCAAGTTGCAGTTCGAGCTCCCGCTCTCGGGCCCCTCTTGGGGGCCTCTTGGAGCAGCGAGCTGGACCCGTCTCGGAGGCTTCGGAGGCCCTGTTGGGCGGGTCCTTCGCCGGCATTTTTTCGGCCGGCTTGGACGCTCCGAATGCCAAACCGTCGAATCTGAGAAATTCATACACGAAGGCAATTCGTCGTTCAATGATTTTGGCCTCTCGGGCAGGCCCCCAAGGCTTCAAGACGGGTCAAGAGGCTCCCATGAGAGCGTGATATCATCGAGAGTTCCCGAGCTTTCTGAGCGTGTCAATTGTGGGATGCTGAAAGTCGGTTTCGGCGGGCTTGGCTTACCAGAGGCCCACGTGAGAAACGCCAGAAGTACCCAGGAGCGCTCAGAATTTCTGGCAAATTGGTGGCCTTGACCCTTACGAGTCTTACGATCCTTCTAACACTCACATTTGTATGAGCCAAAGCATGAAGGCTGAATAATCTTGTCGATGCACGAATCTGGGGGCAAGACTCGACGGGCCCCTCAAGAAGAGGACAACTGGCAGGAGGAGGAGGAGGAGGAGCAGGAGGAGGAGGAGGAGGAAGAAGAGAAGGAGGATGAGGAGGAGGAAAAGGAGGAGGAGGAAAAGGAGGAGGAGGAGGAGGAGGAGGAGGAGGAGGAGGAGCAGGAGGAGGAGCAGGGTAAGAAGAGGGTGGGCCATGAGGAGGGTGAGACGGAGGGAGGAGAGGGCGGGAGGCTGGGAGGGAGGAGCAAGCGGAGGTCCCAAGCATCGTCCCTGGTGGGCGGTGCCGCCGTGCGGAGGAGGAGCCCCCCTCGCAGAAAGCCGCTGCCCGCTGCTGGGTGGAGAGAGGAGAGCTCACCGCTCGCCGTCGCGCGCGAGCCCAGCAGGCGCCGCGCCGCCCCGGGAGCGCGCGCGGGGGCGCGTCGCGGCGCGCGCAAGCGGCCGAAGCGGCTGCCTGCGGGGTGCTCTCCGGCGCGTGCGGCCTGCCTGCAGCGACTCTCTGCGCCGAGCGAGCGCCCGTGGATCGCCGGCCGGGGCCCAGCAGCCCGTCCCGCCCAGCAGCGTGCGGGGTCGCCATAAAGGGGGGCCCGTCGCCGATCCCTCGGCGATGCATCGCCGATTCCAGCCCGACTTGCAAGGGAGGAAGAACCACCTGGTCCGGACAAGTGGCATTTACGAAACGGCCTTGGGCGTTTGCTAGACGGCCCTGCCCTGTTCGATTCCTTCTGGGACCACGTTTACTGAACGGCTTCGCTTGTCGGGGTGGTTCTTATCGGGGTGGATTTTCTGCCCTCTATTCCCCCCCTTGAGCCAAGCCCCCCCCTGGCGCTGCCCCTCAGAGGCGCCGAGCAGGGCGGGGGCGCTGAGGGGCCCGCGGCCCCACGGGAGTCTGGGAGGACGCAGGGGAGCTGGTCGGGCGGGGCTAGGATTAGGTCGGGCCTGTCCCCCTACAGGAGGATTTTGGACGAAAAGCAAAGAATACCCCAAAAGTGCCCCCCAAATTTTCCAAAATGGTGAAAAAATCGTCCCTACAGGCTAGAGTATTTTTTGACTAATGTTTGAATATTCCCCCTGTATAGGGACAGGCCCGACTTAAAGCTAGGACGAGGATAAACTCGTTCCAGAGCGTTCCGGAACGCTCTGAGAGGGCCGCGGCGCCCGAGAGATCCTCCAGAGCCGCCGGATCTCAGAGATTCTCGGTTTACGCCCACCCGATTTTATCCTCGTCCTGGCTTCGTCTTTGGGGAGCTTCGGCGGCTCGCCTGGGGGGCCGCGCGGGGCTGCGCCGCGGCGCCCAAGGGGCCGCGCGGCCGCTCGACGACGGCCGCGCGGCCGTCGGCAGCGTTTTTTTTCGCCCCCCCCTCGGTTGCGCCGCTGCCGCCGCCGCCGCCGGTTTCCTTCTCCCCCCCTCGAGCGAAGGTGAACCTGCAGCCGGCGAGCGCGCTGGACCAGGCCTGGGGCCCAGCGTCGTGGCCGCCGCCGCCGCCGCCGCCGCCGCGTGATCTCATCTATCGACCAACAGCCAAGCGACACCACCCCACCAACGGCCCTGCATGTTTCAGGAGGGAAAAAAACACAGACACAATTAATCGGCGATTCCCAGAAAATATGGGAAAATATGGGAAGTGGGGGGGAAGACAAAAAACCCGAAAATATAGGAAAATATGGGGGATATTTCCCTACCTAGGCTCTGCCTAGAAGGGTTCTTACTCGCTTGGCTTAAAGGGGCGGGGCAGTGAAAACCGCCCCGGGCGGTTCCCCCAGTCCCCTGGGAGCCAAGCAAAAGCAACAGCAAAGGTAAAAGCAAACGCGCGGTTCCCCCAGTTGCGCTCCCTGGGTTCCAAGCAAAAGCAAAAGCAAAGGCAAAAGTGAAGGCAAAAGCGAAGGCAAAGCAAAAGCATAGCATAGCATAGCGCAGCATAGCATAGCGCAGCATAGCATAGCATAGCCTAGCCTAGCCTAGCCCAGCATAGCATTGCGCAGCATAGCATAGCATAGCACAGCACAGCAAAGCACAGCATAGCATAGCATAGCATAGCGCAGCATAGCGCAGCACAGCATCCACTATTGCTGCTGCTGCTATATATATATATATATGTACTTATATATATATATGTATATATATATATATATATACAAGACTGCAGTGGCGCTTCGCGCCATGAACCTTGGTCCTTGAAGTTTGGCATGCAGGCGGAATGGCAGGAAGGTCCAGCCGACAATTTAGCGATAACTCCTGCTTGCCTTCTCCGGCATCGCCGCTATCATGATGTTATTCGTTATCCTTCCTCCATGCTTATTGTTCCTTATTTTCGCCATACCCTGCGCATTCTCCCCATCCTCCTCAGCTCTTTTTTGCGGAGGCTCCTCCTTGGAGAGCCTCTAGGGGCCTCAGAAAAGTTGTTTCGGGCTTTCTTAAGGCCTTCTGGAGTCCTCCTGGGCGTATTCTGGGGGCCTCCGGGGGCTTCCTCGCGCCACCCTGCGTCCAACCGCCGTCTCCCTGAACGACCGAATCACAATTTGGAATTCTTCGGAGGGTGTCTTTGGGCCATCTTGGGCCGCCATGGGGCTCTCTGAGGGCCATCTTGGACCCGTGTTGTGCCGTTTTGGGGCTCTCTTGGACTGCCTGGAAGCCCTTTCGGATGGTTGTGGGGCGATTTGGGAGCCTCCCAGGCGGCTTCGGACGCCCAGAAGACCGCCTTCTTGGAGCGTCGGGAAGCCGAAAAGAGGAGAACGCCAAAATTTACCAAAAACCCTACAGAAAATCAATGATTTTTGCCTCGGGGGGCCTTGTTGGGAGTGCTCTTGGAGGCCTCTTTGGGGCCGTCCTGGAGGCCTCTTGGGCCATCTTGGGGTCACGTCGGTCACTCTTGGAGCGCTCTTGTGCTGTCTTGGGGGTCTCTGGGACGTCTCCGATGACTCTCCTGATCGCCCGAAGTGAGCTGGGAAGGCTTGGCAAAACGCCTTGCGAGGCCCGGTGGCCGCTTCAAGGCCCGTCCGGAGGGCCCCAAAGCCCCAGGTCCTGGGAGTCCAGTTTTTTTTGGGGGGGACGGGTTTTCCCCCCGCCCGGGCTTATAAGAATATAGGAAGAGGAATATATATATATATAGTTATATATATATATATATATATATATATCTATATCTATATATATATATATATATATATATATGTGTGTGTGTGTGTGTGTGTGTGTGTGCGCACGTATGTTCCATGCATGTAGTCCGTGTGTGGGCTATATTGAGCCCTTAGTGGGGCAGCTTGAGCCCTTAGGATTCACGAAGGTTTCGCACACAGCACCGGCCGGGAGACATGAAACCCGACGTATTATCGCATGTCCTAAATGTCTTCCTATATATGCAAATATATGTGTATATATACATAACACCCATGTGGAATGCTGCATGTGTGTGTGTGTGTGTGTGTGTGCGTGTGTGTGTGTGTGTGCATGTATTTGTTCAGCACCGCTCCTACTAATGTTGCTTTCCTAGAGGCTCCAACTCCTAGGTAGGGTCGCACTGGGATCATTTCTATTTGTGTGTATTTATTTGTGTGTCCCAGTTCCCCTTCAATGTTGCGCTGCGGCCCATCGGAGGCCGCAGCGTATACCACGCAAAAGCCCGAGCCCGAATTCATGGTATACACATGCTGAAGCCCGTGGGGACGTGTGTGGGGTGGTGTCGTTTGGTTTCTGGTCCAATCTAGGCCTCTCAGATGGGGTCAGAGTTGGTGGGGTCGGAGGATCGCGCCGCATCGCCGATGCATCGCCGATGCGGCTCGATGTGGGCGCCGATTTTCTTCACGCCGGCGGCGCCGATGCATCGCCGACGTTCCGATGTATCGCCGATGCGTTGGCGATGCATTCGCGATGCGGCGGCGCGATCCTCTAGCCCCATCTACTCGGGCCCCATCTAGCAGGCCTGTGCCCTCACCATGCGTGGCGCACGCGTGTCGCAGGGGTGGCGCGGGCCAGGCTCGAGGCGGCCAGGCGTGGCCAGCTGGCTCGCTGGCCTGCCGTGTGGGGGGCCCTGGCGCCGCGGCTCGCCCGCCAGATGAGCCCACGTGGTCCGGGCTACCGCTGCGGCGCGGCAGCTTTAGACATCGGCCGCGTTGGTTGGAGCACCACGAACGGAGCGACGGGTGCGGCGCGGCGCGTGGGGCGCGGCGCTCGGGATAACAGTGCCGCGGCCTATCTCCTCGGCCCTTCGTTGCCCGCAGGAGGCGTGCCACGGCCGCGCCGGCCAGCGGAGGCGCGATTTGCCCACGCCACCCCACTGCCGTCCCCTCCCTCGCTGCCGCTGGGGCCAGGGGCGGTGAGAAGGCCCCCTGACGCCGAGCAGCGCCAGAGCTGGGGTGCTAGGGCACCCGGGCGGCCCCCGTGACGCCGCCGCCAGAGGGGCCGGGGACAAGATTTGCACACATGTCCCGAGAGGTTTTCTGTCGAGTTGCTGGGAACTCGGGAGGAAACCGCTCGTGATTTGCTACGCTGGATGGCCCCCCTGCGATGTGCTTGTCCGGCACGTCACCCAGTCGGCGGCTGCGTCCTCAGGCCACAGCACTGGCGGGGGCCGCCTGCCCTCCCCCTTGTCCCTCCCCCCCTGGTCACCCCTGCCCCCCTCCCTGGCTTTCCCCCCCTCGTCCCCCGTCCTCCCTCCCTCTCCTCCTCATCCCTCTGCTGTCTCGGGCCCCTGCCCTCCCTTTTCCTTCCCCCGCCCCCCCCTTTCGCGTCGCCCGTCATTCGCGCTGGGTTCGGACAAGGACCGCCCCTCGGCGCCGCCAACGTGTACTTCCTTCAGCCGTACCCTGGTGTCGCCGCCATGGTGCCTGGCGGGGGCCCACGTGTGCAATCCACCCAGCAACCTTCAGCACTATCCTGCACCCGACGGAGGGCTTGCTCGTAAGGGTCCTGCGAGCAAGACCCTCCGTCTGGGTTTCCTCACGACGCTGGGATGACACTATATCTGGCGAGCTACAGGTGGGCTGGTTTTGGCTCAGGTGCACTCCCACCACTAGATTGTGCGGACCTCCTTCGGCTTGCGCGGATGGGGCAGAACGCCGAGACCTCAGTGCCTCTGTCTGGGTGCCGGGCTACCTCCGGCACTGCACAGTGAGCACAGGCCCCCGCACGCGACAACGAACCAAAGTACTGCATCCAGCTTCCACGAGAACCGCGCCGGTATGGCATGACGAAGTTTACCATCTTGTGTGGAAAGCACCAGACAGGCTGCCACATGAGCCGCTTATGTACTCCCTGTCCGGACACCCTGGTCTCAGTATTTGTCGCTGCCATCTCTCAAGGAGGCACGCTTCACAGATCACCTTTTTGGGGTTGCTGAGCGCCGATCTGACTCATACCCCTCCTCCTCGTCCTCCTCTTCCTCCTCCTCCTCTTCCTCCTCGTCCTCTTCGTCCTCCTCGTCCTCCTCGTCCTCCTGGTCCTCCTCCTCGTAGTCCTCCTCTTTCCCACCCCTCTAGTGGGGTCGCGGCCTCTGCTGCCACGTGAGGGGGAGCGTTGGGGAGAGGTTGGGGTGGACCGCCCACCGTTCCCCAGAGACAGTAGCGACAATGGTGGCGATGGAGGCGATAACGCGCTAGCTTGTCTCAGCTGGTTTTCTATGCTTACGCCACATTCGCCGACCCCGCTGACAACATGTTGCAGACGGGGAACTCCCGCAGGGCTGGTGGGGCATTTCGGAGGGCCCTGGGGCCATCTTGGGGTGATTCTGGGCGACGAGTCGACAGTCGAGTGTGCTCGTACGGGCGGGAATGCCATAATGTTCGCATCATATTTAAACGTAAGGTTTTTTCCCCACGTCCAAAGTTGGGTTCTTGTTTTCTTTGCACACCCCCACGCAGGAACCTCACACCTCATCCCCTCTCCTCCCCACCCATTTATTCACATACAGCCACACGCTCATTATCGGTACCATCATCATCATCACCATCACCATCACCATCACCATCACCATCATCATCATCATCATCATCATCATCATCATCATCATCATCATCATCATCATCATCGTCATCATCATCATCATCATCATCATCATCATCATCATCATCATCATCATCATCATCATCATCATCATCATAATGATCATCATCATCATCACCATCATCATCATCAATCATCATCAATCATCAATCATCATCATCATCATTAGTATCATCATCATCATCGTCATCGTCATCGTCATCGTCATCGTCATCGTCATCGTCATCATCGTCATCGTCATCATCAGCAGCAGCATCATCATCATCATCATCCACATCATCATCCACATCATCACTCACTCACACACTCACTCACTCACTCATTCGCTCAACACCCACCACCTCATGAATACATGAGGGGGTGGGCTTCGTCAAGCTTGAGCATGGAGGAATGCTCAGGCGGGAACCTCGTCTGTGAGTGAATTGCGAGGAAGCCTCAGGCGGGAGCCCTTCCT